TTACCCTATTTAATTTTACATAAAAATGTATAATGCTAAGAATAATATTCTATAGATTAATAAAACTGCTGCCCAAATCCTAGGCATTTTCTCCTTTGATCGGAATTTGAGGAAACTTATACCGGACTGCACATTTTCCCCTGATTCAACTTAAAACTTTACAAAAAGTAATTAAACAACTGAGTTGTTGATATTTGTGCAGCAATATCAGCACTCCTTGGAATATTTTGCTTCTAAATATACCTTGGTTCAGTTAAATAAAGTAGAGCATGCCCTTGCGCCGAAGCATTTTTGTTGATATCCTTTATAACCTTGTGTAATAAAGAACAATGACGTCATAATAAGACGTCATTATGTGTACTGGCTATATCATGTCGTGGATACCAAGTTTGTATAAGACAATAAGATTTATCTTTCTCTGAATAATTGGTATAGTCCTTGGGCATTTTAATTTGTTTATTTGCATAGATATGCCTATACTAGCCTTAACTCACTTGCGGACGACGACAACGACGACGACAACAACGACGACAGACAACAGACAAATTTGATCAGAAAAGCTCACTTGAGCCTTCGGCTTAGGTGAGCTATAAAGTGAAAGCCTAGTGTTTAGAACTGTTTCTTATGACCTTTAATCTATTCTGCGCCTTGCAATAGTCGTTCATTTTACCTTCACGCTTTCCTCTAAAGTTATAGACAAACATGTATATTTAAGTCAAAAATTTGTTTTTATTGAAAAATAGTACGTAAATCCAATGTCTTGGTTTTGAAATAATAATGAAATACATTCTTCTCTAAAAGCGCTCAAAAATATTTTATGAGTAAATTAGATAGAACAAATCAAATGCATATGATTATGGGGGAAGAATTAAATAGTGAATGTTATATAAAGATTACAAGCATCTGTGTATTGAGACAAATGAAATCAATTTGGAATATTGTTATCATCAATCATCATCCACTGGAGCCCTTATGCTCACTGTTCTTGTAACGTTTAACAATCCTTTCTCCTCTGTGGTATAATCATAGGAAAAACTGGTTTTGAATTCTGTAGTCCTTTGAAATCCAGTTTCTGAACGGGCTAAAATACTTGATTCATCTTGTCGATATAGAGTCGGAATAACCTCCTTTGTAGACGTTTTAATGTTTCTTGTTGAAAACGTTGCATATGGAATTGCATGATAGGGAGCATTGTCATTATACATTTCAGATAATTCCTGTGGAGACCTTTCAGCTGGTTGAACAGGACTACATAAATTGAATATATCATGGATAAGCTAACAATTAAGATACAAATAATTTTTTTGTGTATTTACAGATTTCTTCAATGACTAGTTATTTGAATTTTTATTCTTGAAGTTTTTAATAGTGAAAATAAAACAAAGAATGCACAGGTATGTCTTGAGTGCACAACCTACGCTTCTGCATTTATTGGATGATGTATGATTACGCGGCATACTGAGTATTGTATTTAGCATGTATGATACTTGGCGGATATTGATTTTTCAAAAAGTTAGCCTTGATTTGATTCGAACATTTCTTAATGTATATATTTAAGTCTTTTATATACACAGATGAAATTACAATAAACGAATGATGAACATTATGTTTTGCAGTCAGTAAATTGTACTGTCGTTCATATGACCTCGTTAGCACATGTAACCTTTCATTGTGTCGTATTTTGAAATCGTGTTTCATACTTAAGTGCTAAGTTTAGTCAATTCATTAAACTTACATATGCTAATAAATTCTGGTAATCTCATATCACGTATTATGTAAGAAACATCTGAATGTTATTGTAATTATCCAGTGCATCATAAGCCGATAATCCTAATGTCAAGTATTTATCTATGCAATTTTGGATGTGTTTTTGGACGATTGCATTCCTTTTTTTACGCCTGCATGGTTATGTACGAGAAAGAGAAGAGTTTATGATATGAAAAGCAATATTGTTATCATTGTAAATTATTTGTAAAATTGCGCAGGTTAAACACGTAAACACGGTTCTTTTATTAACGAAAAATGTTTTCATGTTTACTTTCATTAAGTTTTTCAGCAACCTGAGATCAGCGTTACAGCCCTGAAGTGAACGAAATTCTGATAAGCTGATTGTACTGACGATTGCATATTATTGTTTTTAATATCGAAATGATGATCACAGGAAAGGTATGCCCTCTAGTTTGGAGATTAAGCATTAGTTGGATCATTTGAACATTTTGAAGACAATTTATTCTTGATATAAAGGCATTACGTGATGTACTAAATTAAGCAGAAGCTTTTCAATTAAGGTCGAAAATAGAATATTTGTACAATTGAATTACTTACAGTTTTTTGTAAACAAAATACTATTCTTAATCCATTTCATTTACATACCACATTTCTAGCTGTTGTCGTTTTCTCCTCCTAATGAAGAGGAATGCGATGGCACCGACAACTCCGCCGATGATGACAATTAAAAGAGTAGGCAAAATAATTGCAATGTTGTCTTGTGCATTATCTTCTACAACAGAAAAAGTACCGTAAATATATTCTGGAATTTATGCTATTGCAATCAAATGTTGCACTATTAAAGTTGAAAGAAAAGTTTATAATGTCGAAACAAACGTTATGCGCTTACGCTTGCTAGGATTGAACCCACGATCCATGGATTACATCTTTTATAAAATCAAGGAAATGTGAGGAGTGAGAAGACTATTTATATGGCCGACGCAAAATAATTCATAATTTCTCCTATAAGTTCAGACATTTCTTCAATAAACAAAAATTTCATGAGATAAACAAAACTGTATGTTAACTTTTTTATTTGATCAGATTTATGAAATTTTCGGTGTGTTAAATTCCGTCTTTGTGCTATATTGGATGGGAAGGGGGTGGTATGGTTGGGTTAAGCCTTGTGCTACATTAACTGAAATTATTTATGTAAATACAAAGAGAAAAACAATGCAATGTAAACGTAAACTAGGTTACTTTGAAAATTATGTAGATATGAGGTCTGATGTCAGGTTTGGTGAAATATCAACGTGACTGTTGTGTTCTGGAGGAGAGGTTTGAAAGTATTAACATAAATGTAACCATTCTTTAGACCATGACTTTATAAAAATTTGCAATGGAAACTAAAAATGTTTAAAAATTATCAGAAAAAAACAAACGCATTTTTTCAAAGACGAAAACGTTTTTTTTAGATAAAAAAGAGAAAGATAAAAAGAATAAATGACCGATTTTTATTTAATAGAAACTTGTTATTGCAGTAAGAATGGATATAAACTTTTGTCATCCGACCTCTCCAGAGAGGTTTTGTAGTGCACTAATATTACAACGTAATTTATGTAGTAAAATTTCTGTAATTGCAGCTCCGACATACATAAATAAAAATAAATTGAACAACTTCTAGTTTTTAAAAGATTAAAATCAATGCAAGTACAACTCTTTTGTCATTCAAAGTGGAATATGGAGATAACGAACAGTAATCAAGCTCATGGGTTCATTGAAGCAATACAAATCGGGAGCAGAGCAAACACCGACCTCTAAAAGCATCAGTGGATTGATCAGGTGTCATGGAGGAGTAAACATCCCCCCTCGACCGGTCACACCCGTCGTATGCTCTTTGTCATGATCGGGAAAAACCCGTAGACAATTCAGTGTGTAAATAATGACCTAACAATAACCATGAAACACGTCAGTCAACATTCGACTTAATGAAAGATTGTATTTACTGACAGGGTCATTGTATAGACCATAAAACTTGCAAAATGTTGCCTTTCTTCTTTCATCAACTTGTCAATAGCTTGTCTCGTTTTAGAACTTCTTTGCACGTGGATCATGTTCTTACGTATCGAATCAACATTTAGACATAACTTTATATGCAGGAGATAAAGGTATATTACAGTGGCTGCAACGTTATTGTTGACAAACCAATCGTGTAGAATCGTTTGTGAAACGTGCGTGATTGTTTGTGTAACGTGCGTGTATCAGTTTTTAATCGTGGGTGATTGTGCGGTAAGAAACGTGCAAATTTCGTTTTGTAAATTTTTATCGGAAAGTAATTGGTTGAACAAGCATTTCGCTTGTCTTTTTTTTATGGAAATAAAAGAAATAAAGCGCGATTTACATAACTGAACGAACTGGTTATCGCTAGTAAATAAGCAATATAGCAAGTCGTTCAATATTGTATTCTCATCAAATAGCGTAACTCTTAATGATAAAACGTATTTAAGATGTGTAACAATTTTTCTATGACGTTAGTTATGTTTACTGGTAATTGTGGTCAAGATATACTTTAAATCAATGCATCAAAAATTTTATAATTCCCAATGTTTACATAAGTATTTAGTCGGCGAATTTCCACGACATAATTGTCGAGGTTACTTTTATCAGTGCACATGTTTATCCCTGATACTTACTTTATTCTTATGATTTATGCAAATGAATGAATTATAAAATCATTGCTGATTTTAAAGATTCACAAATGGAAAGATGGATTTAGTTCTAATCCATTTTATGTCATTTTTAAATCTAACCCCCCTTACTTCATATCATGAAATCCAATAGAATCAAAACTCACGACCCACCTATATCATGTGATAGAACATTTAGCAATCGATCATAAATTACATCTTTACGTATCAAAAAGATTTTAAAAATAATCAATTTTGCTAAATAGGAGAATTACATAAATAATTATTTGTAATCTAAAATAACTTAAGTCTTATTAAGTTTCAAAAATATCAATTTCTTAATATTTTTCAGTTTTTCAAAGTCGATAAATTTCATCAATTATCATTTGTAATCTAAAATATATATTAATCCTTATTTCGTATTAAAAATATCCACTCCTAAATATTTTTTAACCGATGCTAGGACTTTCAGGAATCCCGAGATTTCGGGAGAATCCCGCTACAGAAACAAGAATCCCCGACAAAAACGTAGAATTCCCATAAAAATGAATGAGTTGGGATACAAAAAAAAGGTTTAGGTGGTGATTACTAGGATGATAGTATTATCCGTACATTTTTATAGCCAATTTTACCCGAGAATCGACAGAAATCGGCCATTTCCGTATACCACGCCCGATCTAAAATCGCGATCGCTGACAAGTTTTCTAAGTTATACGTGAAAAATATTCATGCTTATAAAAAGTGAATGATATTATATATGAATTTTATAATAAGAATTAACATGATTATAAATACATAAAAGGAAATAAAAAAATGAAGAAAAATTAAATATAATTAAAAATATTATAAATCAACATATTTCAGGTCTCCATTGACTCCTTTTGTCCACACTGGTTTTGTACCCTTCCATGTGGGAATTTTATATCGAAAATTATGTTGGAGAATTTGGAAATATTTGTGAAATATATGTTTTACTGTTACATAAAGACAATGAGATAGTATGTCTACCCCCTAAGAACATTTCTACATAAACCAAGAGACTCAATATGGTTGATAAACAGCACAGTGAAAATTCAATTTGCTTGTATTTTGGAAAATTTTAATTTGAAATTTTTATATTTATTTATATCAATTTTTATTTATCCATTTTATTTTTAAAGTTATTTATTTATTTTTTTAGTTATTTTTTCTTTATTTCATTTATTTATTTCTATAATATTTATTTATTTGGTTTTGATTTGTACTCATTGATATTAGAAAGCAAATAGTATTATCCAAGAATGAAATTATTTGAACACAGATCTATTAAAAATGGAAAGTTCCATAAAAATTAATAATATGTGCATGATGCATATGTGACCCCTTGTTGAGGGAGTATTGTGAGAATATTTTTGCGTGGACCCTGAGGTCCACGCAGAAAATATATAAGTGGGGTTAAACCGGATGCCATGGGCTTACGTCAGGCTACGCATGCGCGATAATGCTAGAGAGTTCGCCTCGAAGACAACTTGCCCTTAGAACAATTCGCCCATTTCGAATTAGAATATGCCAATCATTGGCAAACCTTGCTCTAAAATCTGCGCATCGTATTTATGTATTCTTTGGCGTAACCAAGATCCGAATTTCTCTTTTATACATATATCCTTATATACAAACTAAATTCTATGGTACAAGCATTTTAAATAAGTAGGAAGAACTTATATAGATAGCTTAGCAGCTTGAACATGTTGAATTAGAAACTTAATTCAAATGTTGAATTAAAAACTTAATTCAACCACTATACCTTTTGAAAGATAGTCTTTACAATGTACCATGGTTACCGGCATTAGTTTTGTGCATCAAGGTTAGCAAAATAATTTGATAGACAGCAATCGAAATATAGCTTGATACAGGTCTGTAACAAAGTTTTCCATGTCGGGGAGAGTGAGAAACATAAAAAAAATTCTGCGTACTACAGATCTGTGCTACAAGTGTACCATCTATCTTTCCAATGATAGAATCTTACGTATAAAACTAGTACAGAAGCCAAGTTCCAGCCGTTATGGGTTAACAATTTTGCTATGAAAGTTTTATCACTCAAAGTAGGCAGATCATTGTACAAAATGTTAACGAAAGGTTAACCTGCGCCACCTTTCAGAGTAACCAATGAACCGTCCATGGATGCGTTGACGGTCGTTTAAACAAGAATAGATATGGGTTACCCCATATCCAAGATATTCGACTTTTAATTTACTCGAATTTTCACCAGAAAAAAAAACTGCACATGTTATGAAACTGGTATATAGTTCTTTATGTGTGTAGCAGTCTAACCGTCACTAGCAAACAGTGCACACACCTGTGTTTGCAAGACCAAATAGCCTAGGTCTAGTGCGATGAGATTGTCAATCGCATCTTCTCAGACCTTTCTTGCGAGCTCGGAAAAACACGCTGTTTTGCTGAGAAGTTACGATTTCAGGTGTTGTATTAAATTAAAATATAACAACCCATTTCTGCCAGAAAGTGTTGTAGTCAGTAAGTTTTTTTTATCAATTTTTACAGTGTATTGCAAAGCTGTAAAATAGGATTTAAATAGATTAAGAAAACCTTGGATAGATGGACAAGTATTCTGACAACGAACTTTATAAATGTAATACTTCATTAATATCAACATAGTGTTAAGATATTCTGAAATTTCATTATGATCTTTTTCACCAAAAATAAATGATTTAGCATTTAAATTCAATTCAATGTCTTTTGCTGGACAAAGACTAAGCAATTTTTTTTTAAATTGCTGAACAAACATACAGTCCCAGATTAAATGATAAATTGTTTCCTCTTCTTCTTCATAAAAAGTACAAGACTAAGTGTCAGCTTTGCCCAATTTATATAAGACTATTGGTAGTTAGAATATGGTGATAACTCTGTATTGAAACCATTGTAATATACAATTATGTGTCACGAGGATGGGAAGATTATAAACAGTTTCCTATTGCACATCAGTTATTTCAAAATATCTAGCCCACTTATTTTTACCCGAAGGTTTAATAACTGGTATATTCAGAATATCATACATAGTTTTTAATCCTTTCTTTGTAAGAACAAATACTTTGATATTATAAGGAATCAT